CCCCAAAACCCCAAAACCCCAAAACCCCAAAACCCCAAGTGTTTTAAAAATATTGATATAATTTAGAATAAGCGTAAATATGTACAGGGACAAAAGTCATGGTAAGAGAGTTTAGAGGGATTTATAAGGGAAATTAAGGGTTGTAGTAGGATTAGAGAGTGGGAATTTGGGGGTGGAGCAGGGGTAGATGGAGGAAGGAGAAGGACAGAGAGGGATAGGACAACTGTTGTAGGGGTGGGAGTTGGAATTTTGAGGGTTTTGACAGTGGTTTAGGTGCATTACCAAACACGAGATATTCGACGCTTGGAGGAGATGGGATGACAAGGTCTTCTTCAACCCTTAATCTTGCTGCTAATAATACCTTAAGGAATACCCTTGATCTTCATAATAGGAGTCGAGCTGATTGGGTTGCAGAAAATTATAATTATGATCCTTATGAGAATAAACCTCCAACCAATTATCAAATGAAGCGTATTCTTTCTAGTTATATCTATAGATGGATCGATGACAATGATGAATCCTGATTTTTCAAAAGTAGGAATAATTTTATAAGAATTATCTTCTTCAAACAATGAGATTTTCTTTTGCAAAATTATCGAAAATTTCTTAAATAATTCTTAATTTAGAGTGAAAATCCTCAAAGGAACTTTATTGGCAATAATACTTACGGAGAGAAGCCAAATTTCTTGAGGCAAGTATCAGATCTTGAAACTCGAATCAAAAACAACAGAGGACCAAATACCCCTTGGAAGGTAGTCCCTTCAGTTCCACAGACAGTTGTACCGACAGCTGCTGGCCCAATACCTTTGGGCATCCCCAATGGAGGAATGCTTCCATATAGTGGAGGATTTCCATATGGAGGGTATGGAGGATACTACAATCCAAATTATTTACATTCGACGATTAATAACATGGGTGAAACAAACAAGCAGTTAAAATAATCAGCTATTTTCTCACAAGGAAGCAATTGGTGAACTTGAAGAGCAGGTAGACACAATGGCTAGAGAAGGAACCAGATTTGAAGATATAATCCATAAATACAACCAAGATCTTCAGACAGCTCGTGAACGGTATACCCAACCAACAGCTTATGGAGGAGGAATAGCAGGTGTTGACACTGCAAACATCCAGACAGGTGTGAGTACTGTAGATCCTAGGAAAACCTTTAGAAGTGTTGGTGATGTTAGTGATCCCAGGAAAGGTTTCTTTAAATGGGGAGATGCAGAGACTGACAATGTTCTACATAATATAGCTAATCAAGAGCAAGAACTTCTTAGAATTATCAGTAATATTCCAGAAAATAGCCAGATGTATAAGACTAAATCTGAGAAGCTCCAGAACGTAGTTAGAAAAAGAGTAGAACTTGAGAAGATGCTCTACAATAGAGCAGACTACGATCAGTACTACAAAGAAAAAGTAATTGATGACCAGAAGAAAGATAATATTGCTCAGTGGCTCAGAAGAGATATTAATCTCTTTGAGAAAGAAGCTTCCTTCCAAAAATTTAGATCTGGAGATGGATTTTTAGTTTATTGGGACTATATTCTTAACTTGCTCAAAGAATTCAAGAAAGTTCAGATTGTTTATGGAATTTACAACCGAGGAAGTACTGTGTTTGAGCCTCGTTTGGTTGATCTCACTGATATAAACGATACGACACATCCAAATTTTGCTCAAGTTATTTTTGACATCAACCACCTCGTAAGAGATATCGAACCTCACCCTGATTCATTACTTATTTTTGAAGTTCAAGTTCCAGTTCAGAAAACAGCAGCGATTGAAGACAAAATGAATATTGGAGCAAACACGGGTTATAGATTAAGTACAAGAGCGAGAGAGGTCACAAAAAGAAAATTTGATGAGTTTGAGGACTTCAATGAAGAGTCTCCAAATATGTTTCAGACTTATGGATGGTCAGTAATTGATTTATTCAGTTACAAACATGATTTGAAAAGAGGAACTTATAAAGTCCCTATCTACAAACCTCCAACTATTGTCAACTTAGATGTGAGAGATATTCCTGCTTTAGAAAGAATTCCGGACACAATGGTTTGGCTTCGTGTTGCTTTTCCAAAGGAAGATGAGTATTCTGAAATTCGTTGAGACCCGTCTATCTATCATATTTACTACATCCCTGAAATCCACAACTTTGCTCCAAAAATTGACATGTACGTCAAACCTGAAAGGGATCCCAATTATGTATGAGAAGGAATTAATGTCTATGTGCATTTCTGTAAGGGAATACAAGCAGCAAGACATGTCAGAGTTGCTACTTGTATTCAGCTGGGTAAAAACATTATCCAAATGGAGAATGGAGCTCTTTGTTTCTATGCCACTCATGGTGTCAAACCAGAAGTAAAGGAAGTTGTAACTACAAAGGCAGCCATTACTCCAAAATCTAAAAACTCAGCCGTGAAATCTATCCTTAAGAACAACACAATTGAGATTCCAAGTCATACCATCTACTACGACAATATTGAATTCAATAATGGGAAAGAGTTTTACATGGACTTCTACAAACTTTTCTGGGATGAAGATCTCAATGAGAACATGTACGTTGTCATCCAGTATCTGGAGAGAAAGCAAGGAATCATCCCCACGGTAGATGCTGTTATTTCCAGGAAATTGATTGAGGATGAATATGATTGCCTAGGGTATTCAGTCATCCAGATCAATAACCCTGATGGAACCATTAGGTATGGTACTTATACACTAGATTTGTATAATCCACCTATTTATGTTGAGGAGCTCGATGAAACCCAAAGAACAACAGGAATTTGCAAGGTAACTATTGGAAGACCTGGAATAGAAGTGGGTGCTACTAGAGCAGGAGCAAGTGTAAGACAGAGAACACCTCCAATGCCTGGCAGTACAAGAAAGGTCCAGATCAATAATACACCTCAAGTGAGTTCAGGTGGAGGAAGAACTCCTCGCTCTCGTAAGAAAAAGAAGAAAACTCGTCCCATGAAAGAAGTGGAGACTCCAAACAAAGGAAATGATCCATTTGAGAATCCTCCTCAACCAGAAGAAGACAAAGAGGAGGAACCTTTTTAAGCCTTCTCCAGTGCCTCCAACTCCAAAGAGGAAGAAAAAGAGTCCTTTTACTCCTGGTAGTAGGGATATCCCCCCTGCAGATATTATCAAAACTCCTTTGAACGATTATGGAATTGCGAATGCTTTGCATGATTCTGTATTGGTTCTTCCTTCTAAGGGTAAGAATCCTGATGCTTTTATACCAAATGAGCAAATTCAGTACAGAGTAGAATCATTCGGGGCAAACGAGGGTGTCGATTTCTACATTGATTATGCAAGGTTTCTGCCAGATAATACAACAGTGACAAAATGAGTGATGAGAGCATTTAACTATGACATGGTTAGACTGATTCAAAGAGCAGAAGGAGTGCCCGATGTCAATGAGAGTACAACCTATATCCCATATTTTGGTTTCAGGTATGAATTCAGATTACCTAGATATGACCCCACTACAATTGTTGCAATCACTCTAGAAACAATAGACAAAACAAGCCTTGAGGTCGTTTATCTTGGACATGCTTTCTTCCCACTATTCTTAGACAAAGACTCTCGAAAACCTACAGCTGATCCATCTGCTCAAGACTTTATTCTCCAGGAAGGGAATTATCAGATACCTCTTTACTGTCAAACACCGCCTCTAAATCCACCATTCACGTTTGATATTCTAACTAAACTTGAAAAGATACCAACTGCATCTTTGCTTATTAGAGTAAGAAAGGCAGCTACTTCAGAAGGCTACAAAGTCCTCAGCATTAAAGATGTCCCTAATGATCAGTGGGAGTCTCTTGGATTAGTCGAAGCACCTCCAGATTATGGAGAGGAGAAATACAACACAAGTTACTGCAATGTCAATAATAGCGAACTTGCTACGTTCAAAGAGAGAGAAAGACGTCATGATCCTCAGTTCAGAGATACTTGTAAATATCTTGCTCAAGTTTTGAACATTCCTGGTCCCTCAGTAAGCTTTTACGTAATCTTTTAGCATCCTGAGTACACAGATGAATGGGTTGAAGAACTTATCAATTCTACAGAAGAAACAGAGTACCTGAATATGAACTATTTTGCAACTTATAATAAAGAGCTTGGATTCAAAATTTCAGTAGATGGGTTCCACAATACGCCTCATCCAATCCCATATGGGTGTATTGTTTCTTTGAACCCTCCAGGTTCGCTGTACACTAAAGAAAATCCAGAAGACCTAAAAGACGTGAGTATTCTCCTCATATTTTATTAACATACAACTAACATGAATATAGGTGAATGTAGCAACAGCTCTTGATTTCTCATCTCCTTTGAGATCTTTCCACCTGCTCGATGGATACTTTAACTTTAGAAATGTGAGAGGAGTGCCAAACCTTGCTGCTGTCTTAGATGTCAGGTCTATTGAATTTGTATCTGGAAATACCAAGATTGTGGAATCTGGCTGGACAGTAGTTCCAATTTTCCTCCAAAGAGACATGAAGCTATACGTTAAGAGTGGAATTTATCAAGTTCCTCTTTTGAAAGGACCTCCTGATCCAGAGCTTGTTAAAGAGATGGCAACTTATGAAGACCAGTGGAATTTCATACAGAATATGATCTCAGAGAGGAAACTATCCCTCCATGAACCCTTCAGTATTATTGTCAGAGTCTGTGATGGGCAAAGAGAAGGTCATTTCTCTAAACGTTATGACTTCTCTAGATTTGATTACTCTTACATGCCGATAGAATCCAAGAACAAGACATACTTATTCTCTCAAGATTCATTGATTAAGTTCCAGAAGATGCCACGGCTGAGCAAGGTTGTGCCCAAGACTATTGATGGGTCACTGTTCCAGAAAAGGATTACTGATGACTTTATTGAGAAGTTCTCGTTGACTCAGTTTACAACTGATGATATATAATCTCCATAATTTTTCAAAATTTAGAGTAATTAAAGGGGTTTTGGGGTTTTGGGGTTTTGGGGTTTTGGGGTTTTGGGGTTTTGGGG